TTTGATATGATTATCAAATATAAATGAGGGTAAAATTGTAAAATGAAGAATAAGAATACATAATCGCACTATAATCGTAGTTTTTGGTGCGATTTGAGTTATGTACAATTTATTAAGAAGTAATCACACTCAGAAAGTTAATGAATCGCATCGCACCCAAAACGAATTAACATTCGTTAGTAAGCAACGATTAGGGTAATTGCATCACACCCAAAATGGAGAGCCATTCAGAGCCTTAGAGAGGACCAATGTTCATGCCAAAAAGATATTGTTTACCCACTTTTAGAGATGACCCTGGTTTTGGTTTGTGAACCGACTAGAGAGATCCTAAAGAATCTGCTACGAAACAATCCGCTCCATATGAGTTTCAGACAACTAACAATATTTACTGGTCGAGGGTCGTATTCTAAAGTTACCTTCTAGTTTTGGCTTACATGTACTTCAGTTTGTAATGATTGTTGCCATTCTTGTGTTGAGTTTTGGACCTGACGAAAAAAAATGCATAACATACCTTTTTCTATCTCTTAGCGAACATATTTTTAATGTGGTTAAAATGTTTTATTTCGTATCCAAAAACTGAAATTTGATTTCAATAAGTATATGATTAATTAATAATGTAAACTGTTTTGCAGTAGTTTTGGTTTTGGGCCTGATTCAAAAGTTTGTAAAGGCCCAAATTACTGAGTCCGAATCTTCTCGAAAGCAAAATAGTCGCAAACCGGTTTATAAAACGCGTGTGGAAAAACCCCTCGACTAGGGTTTTAGGTATTAGAACAAGTTTTGCCGATTCGATTCAAAGGGACACATCTAGCCGAAAATGGGTTTCTGGGGTTAGTTTCTCTCTTCGATCATCACAATCTCAATCTGATTCGCCTAATCGATGTTCTTGATTCTCATTGTGTTTTCTTAACATTTGCAGGAGTTGAAGTGAAACCTGGGAAACCTCAACCTTTCTGTCCGCAGAGTGAACAAGGGAAGCTTCACGTAACCCAGGTTTGTATTAATCTTCTTCTTTGGAAATTTTATACTCTTTGAGACTGATTTGGAAGCTGTTGATGTATGTATGTAATGCCACCATTCAGGCAACTCTAGGTGCTGGTTTGGGTAAAGAGAAGAGTGTGATTCAATGTTCGATTGGAGACAAGGCCCCGATTTACTTGTGTTCATTGTTGCCAAACAAAATCGAATCTTGCCCTTTGAATCTTGAGTTTGATGATGAGGATGAGACAGTTGAGTTCTCTGTGACCGGTGACAGAAGCATCCATCTCTCTGGATTCCTGGAGGAATATCGGGAGGATTATGAGCAAGAAGAAGAAGATGATGATTCGTATCCTTTTGTTGTTATTAGTCGCCTGAATAAATTATACTCTCTTGGGTTTTTTTTTGTTTGCCGTCTATTTAGTAACATCTTAAAGTTTTCATTACGACAATATAAGAGATGGTATCGATATCGGTGATAGTGGCTCAGAAGAGTCGTCTGCCTATGATAGTGAAGAGGAGGATCACATGGATGAACTTGAGGACTTCCTTGATACCAATCTTGATATATATCGCCGCCGTTCTTCTGTCCCAAACAGTGGAGGTACTTTTTCTATTAACAGATGTTAGTCGGATGATTTGTAGCAAGCACTTCGTAAATTACTTCTTAGTACTTTTGGTTTAGTTAGGTGTGATTGCTTTTTTTTGTCAACTCTTCACTTTTTGTCTTATAACTACAAGATTTCAAAACCTTTCCAAACAAATAATATCTGTAAATGTGAATTCATGTACAAGTGTGGCTCCTGGGTGCAGAACCTCTTCTACATTTGTGTTTATAACATATACAAAACTGATTGGATTTTTTTTATATCTGTCACTCTGCTGTTAAAACAAAACTGATTGAATTTTTTGCTAGTTGTAATTGAGGAGATAGAAGATGAAGAGAAACCAGCCGAAGAAAATAAGACAAAACGCCCCAAGAAGAAGGGTCAAGCTACCGAAGATGAGAATGCGAAGAAACAAATCATTGCCAAAGAGACTGCAAATGTTCCAGTTCTGGAAAGCGAAGATGAAGACGGTCTTCCTATTTCGAAAGAAGCACGTGAACCTGAGAGCAAGACAGCTGAAAAGATGGACTTAGATGATAATCTTAGCAACAAAAAACGGAAGGCCAATGCTTCTGTCCAAGATGTTGTACAAGAAAGGTACCCTTCTATTTGATCTCGACAGAGTTGAGGATGTAGAACATTTAACATACTTGCTATTAGCAAGTATTGTAGGAATATGATGTTTTTTTCTTTCTAAAATTTGTTCAGTGT